TAGTGTTTTCTCTTTCATTCAGTTCAGAATATGTTATAATTTCCCCTTTTATCTTTTAATTGATCCCTGGTTTTTCAGAAGTTTATCTATTTTTCTAAATTTTTGATGATTTTTCAGATATTTTTGTGTTCTTGACTTCTAATTTAATTTCATTGTGGCAAGGAAATAAAATTTGTAATATTGGAATCTTTTAATATTTATTGACCATTTATTGAGAATTTCTATAGTCCAGAATTAGGTCCATCTGGTAAATGTGCCTTGTGCATTTGAAAAGTTATGTATTGTGTTGTTGAGTGAGGTAGTTTATAAATATCAATTAGATCAAGTTGTTGATAGTATTTTTAAAGTTTTCTATACCCTTACTGATTTTCTGTCTACGTGTTTTAACAAATATTGAGAGAGGAGTGTTTAACTATAACTGTAATTGTGGATTTGTGTATTTCTCCTTGAAGTTCATTTTTTGAAGCACTGTTATTGGGTGTCATGTTCTCTTGATGAGTTCAGTCATTTATTATTATAAAATGACCAGCCTTGAGTTTTTTCCTCACCACTTACTAATCAGTACTCAACTGAATACTGAATGGGAACCTCTTCAGACATCTGAAGTTCTTACAGCTCTTTTTCCCCAGTATTCTGTGCTGAGAACTCTGGCCTGTTTGGCTTCACTGGACTCTCACCTCTGCCTTCTCAAGTCAGGGACACCAGTAGGCCCAGTCGGGGTTCCTTCTCTGTGCACGGCAGTCCAGAAACTTTCTCCAGGCAGTAAGCTGGGGTGATAGTAGAGTTCAGTTAATTTATTCCTTATCTCTCAGGGATCATTGTTCTTCACTGCCTTCCAAGAGGATAGGGTTGGGCCCAATCTTCTTTGTAAAACTCCTGAAACAAATCTGTTACAGAGGAATAAGATAGTTACAGACTAAGATCATCTCTGAAGCCTCCCCAAACACTCTGTCCTTCTTTTGACATCACATAACTCTTGAGGGCATTCTTTAATATATTTTGTCCAGTATGTTATTGCTTTCAAATTCAATCTGGTCCCTATTACTCTATCTTGATCAGAAGCGGAAGTCTCATTATGCTTCTACCTCTGAATGATAATTTTAGAGAACTTTTTTTTTTTTTTAATGCAGTGAAGGATACTGGTTTGGGAATCAAAATACCTAAGCTGTAACTTTATCACTTGTTGTATAAACTAGAGTAAAATCACTCTGTTGAGCTCTAAATTCCTTGTTGTTGTATTGACAGGATGAAATAAGATAAAGCAAGTAAAAGTATTTTGTAAAATATGAAGGCAAATGTAAAGTATTATTCGAAGATATGAAATGTGTGGGGAGGGGTTAGAAGATGTTTCTGTCTACCCATTTCTTACCCATGTCTTATCCCCTTTACCTTTTATCCGAATCTTGATTCTATCCAGGTGAGGAAATGTGTCCAGCCCCAGGTTTTATCTCACTCTCCCAGTTATTCCTGTAACGGGGGATGGCCGTGTCATTCAGTTCTAGAAAATGAAGAATAATGGACAGTAGTCTGCTAATGGTACTTCTGGACAAACTTTTGATTTTCTGATAAGAGAAACAGATTTAACTGAAATTGCCTCTTCCCCATTATTTGCCCCCAATACATACTTGATTCATGACACTCTAATGGCTATTTTGTAAGTATGTGGAAAGACCAACCCATCACATAGATACTGGTCCTAGCCGTACGAAGTTGCTGAACCTACACTAGCATCCACCTTTCTCCAGATTTTTTGTTTAATGAGAAAATATATTATTGAAGCCATTATTACTTGGGTTTAGAAATTGAATAAACTATGTTTAAACTTTGTTTAAAATCAATAGCAGTAACTGGCTCACAGTAAGTGCTCAATAAATATTTAAAAAATAAATATGGTTAGATATATGAATCTTTCAGAACTCTTGTAGATGTAACTTGACATAAAACAATCCCTCTAAAATCTCAGATAGTACAAGTTCACAGTTTGATTCAGGGCTATATATGGCTTTGCTCATCATAGGGTGCTTATCTCATTTCTTATGATTATACATACAAAGAGAATCTTCCCTGGGGTTGCACAAGTGCTTTTTTAAGAAACTAAGTGAACTTAGCTATAGAGCACTTCCTTACCTTTAAAACTTGAGGAGATACCAATGAAACTCAGCTGACGTTGTAGGAGTATTTGTGTTGAATGATGGAAGAGCTTTTTGAAAGCAATTGCACTGTTATGGGGGAATTCCTATCAAGCCATCCTTGGCATAACTTGCAAATGCCTAGTACACAGAATATAAAGGTCTAACATTTCAGTTTGCATGGAAGGTGAAAGGATTGTTTTAACAGACAGTTTATTTTTTGCCAATTTTTTGCAGCATCAGCTATAATAAGTCATATGTATGAGTAATTAGAAAATGAAATTCATATTTAAAAGTGATCACCTGATTTTGATTTTATGGGGAGGATATAAGAGTGTTACAATTAAAGTAATGTCTTCTTCCTCCCTCTCCATGCCCTACCCCAAACAAATATTTTCTTGAGATTTTTGATAGAAATTCTTATAGAAGCCCTGTAATATAATGGAGTGTTTTGTTTATTTTTATATGAAATACCCCCATAAATAATAACCAAATATCAAAGATTGCAAACCTTGAAATGGCTGAGTTCTTTTGGTTCATGGATTTGCAAACTATGTCCTTGGCTCTTAAAGTGTGAGATTATGAAAGACTAGATGTGATAAAACTTAAGCGGAGAAAAAGGTCCTGGTTACTGGCAGAAATATGGCCAGAGGGAACCATAAATGTAATAAAAAAGGATTTCTCAACTGCAGAAAAGAATTCTAGCTTTTCCATCCAAATGGGCAACCCCCTGGGTGGGCTGATCTTGTGTCAGTCACACCCAAAGTATATGTCTAAAGATTGGAAGAAAACAAATACATGTGTGGGTCAGAAATGTCTCACTTGGTTTGAATTAACTGCTTTTCTTTCTCACTCATTTTCACTAGTTGGGGTGTGTGTGTGGGTATCTATATCTCTGTTTTTCTTTCTTTGATGGGTAATACACTGTTAACTTTGATACAGTGTAGTTTTGGAATACATATTGCATTTATTCAGACTTTTCATTTGAATTTATTTATACTCCCTCCCTTTTTAAAAAAAGACCAGAAGTGCTTCATTTAATAGATGATACTGACACGATGTATCTCTGTGTGTATTTGCTCCATAGGCTTTTGGTAAACTCACTTGTCAATTCAATAAGTAGTCATTGAACATCTACTATGCTCAAGACATCTTGGGGCTTATAGAGCTGAATGAAATGTGGCCCTTGATGTTTAGTGTTGTTGTGTTACCTTCTGCAGAAGCAGTTGCTTTTTAACAAGAGGGTAACAGCCCTGGTTGCATATCAGAATAACCTGGGGAGCTGTTAAAAATACACCTGCCCATGCTCCAACTCTTGGCTCAGGGAAATTCTGGTAATAGGCAGGGCCCAAGGCGTGTGGAGTTTTAACAACAAGCTCCCAAGTGAATCTGATACACAAACCAGGATTAAAGAAATGCTCTAAGCTAAGAAAGGATGACTTGTGAGTTCAGTCACAAGTCAACCAGGTGGATGCCCTTGAAATCTACAACATGAGCACCAGGCTAAAGTTGTTTATAAGGTTGTTTCTATTTCCACTGTTTTAAAATGGGTAGTAATAGTCTGGAAAGCATCCCAGAGATAAGGTTGGGCCCAATCTTCTTTGTAAAACACCTGAGACTGTTATGGAGGAATAAGATAGGTATAGCCAAAGATCATCTTCAAAGCCTTCCCAAACACCCTGTTCTTCTTTCTATCTCACATGAAATATGCTTATTTGTGTAAATTTTCTCCTTCACTAGATTGTGAAATATTCCAGATCAAGAGCAATCCTCTTTTTCTCCCACTAAGGAACCCGGTAACCCATACATAATAGCTATCGACAGGTGTTTGTTTTGAATTGACTCCTCATTCAACTCCTGGGTCTGACCATATATGCATATATCCATAGAGGATATTTATTAAAAAAAATCCATGAAAGTATATATTTGTTTATAAAACATTTCAATCACACAAAAGAATACATTACATAAGGAAGAAAGAACAATGAAACAAGCACCCATGGACCCATTTCCCAGATCATGAAATAGGACGTTGCCAATGCCTTTCAGGTCACCTGTTAAACTAGAGCCTTTTGAACGGTAACCAGCTTCTGAAATTTAAATCAGAATCCTTGCATTCAATCACCGATTGATTGGATCATTCGTTAGTCAAGTGTGCCTAATTAAATGTCAGAACCGACGTAGACGAGGCAGTGATTTCTACTGTTGGAGTGAGGGAGTTCTAAAGGGTCATAAACCATAGCCAGAAGCGTACAGATTGCCTCCGAAGCAAGCACTCTTTACCCAGCTCTGTCCTCTAGAGCGGGCGTGGATTCGGCGTGCGGACACTTTGGACAGAAACTACGCGTCCCGGCAGTCCACGGGGCAAGTGGGCGGAGCCGGGGCGGGGGCGGGGGCCGGGCGAGGGGGGCATTGTGTCGGGAGCGCGGAGCTGCATTTGTCTGCTCGAGGTGCTCGCGGAACGAACGTTGTGTTTGCCGGCGGTGGGGCTCTAAGTGTCAGCGGCGGCCGCGGCCCGGCGGAACACCGAGTTCGGGAAACCACGCGCCCGCTGGCCACGATCGCTGGCAGGGGGCGGCGTGCCAGTGGAGCAACATGCAGATAGGCGCCTGGCGCCCTGACGACCCCTCCCAAGGAAAAGAGGCCGGGACGGCGCTGGGGCGGCGGAGAGCATGAGGGAGGCCGGGGGGCGGCTCGGCGAGGAGCGCTGCTAGGGAGCGGTGCGCGCTGCACACTCGCCGGGGCGCAGCGGAGGGCCGGGAGCCGGGCAGGTCGCGCCAGCGGGCGGGAGCCGGCCGCCGGGAGCTGTTCTGATTTCCGACGCGAACGCGAGGGGCCCGGAGCGGCCCCCAGCCCCGGCGTGCAGCCAACATGGGCAACGCGGGGAGCATGGATTCGCAGCAGACCGATTTCAGGGCGCACAATGTGCCTTTGAAGCTGCCGATGCCCGAGCCAGGTGAACTGGAGGAGCGATTTGCCATCGTGCTGGTGAGTGCGCAGCGGGGGCCCCGGGGCTCCGGGCGGGGAGACGCAGCTGACCCCCGCCCCCTCCTCTCCGCACCGGGAGCGAGCCTCCTGCCCCAAGGGGGAGGCGCCCACCTTCCCCTTTGTGGCCTCGGCAGCCTCAGTCTTCTCCCTTGCCCTTTAGCCCACGCGCTCAGCCCTCTTGGGGTCCCGGGATGGGGCCGGGGGCTCGGGGTGGGCTGCCTGGCCAGCCCAGAGCCCATTGTCTGGCGGGAGAAGCACCTCGCAGCGCGTGTGCCCGGGAGGTGCAGCGTGGGCGTGAAGGGAAGGTGGCGCGGGCCCGGGAGAAGGGGGCGGCGAGCGGCTAAGGCTTTTTGTTTAGAAAAACAAAAACCAAAAACCCCGCAAATCCCGAGTCTCTGCGGACCATCCGGCGCGCGGGGTCCGGGGCAGATGGGTGCATGTGGCCGGCAGCGGGCGGGGAGCGAAGGCGAACTTGGAGGCGGACGTAGCGGCTTGGCGGAGGGGAGCTCGCCCGAAAGGGGAAGATAAGGAAAGCCGCGGCAGTGCGGCGCCCGGGTCCCTAAGCTGGGAGGGGGGCATCTGAAACCCAGGCGGGAGAGAAGCTTTGCCTCAGCTCGTTCCTTTCGGTCTTAAATCTTAAACCACAAGAATGTGCTGTTTTGCGGGGACGTGTTTCGAGCTGTTCTGACATCGGGGGCGACCCCTTCCCTCCTCCAGCACACACAGCCAAGTCCCCGGCTCCCTCCCGAAATCTTTGTTTAGCTTTTTAGCTTCTCAAATCCAAGACACTCAAGACTCCCTTTTTCTCCCTTTTCCTGCTGGGACTAAGTTTCTGAGCCCCTCCCAACCAGAGCTTGACAGTGCTGTGAGCTCAAGAGGGTGTGGCGGCCTCCCCCTCGACCCAGCCAGAGTCTGTCTGTACAGCAGCTGGTCCCCAGACTTCCGATTTTTAGTGACCCAGCCTCCTTCAAGGGATGTTGGGAGGGAAACTGGCGAATCCGATGCGTTCTGTTCCTTACGCTTGTCCATCTACCTTGTCCTAGCTAGTTACCTCTGAACTCTACGCGGTTAGGCAGCAAGAGAAACTTGTGCTCGAGGCAGCCAGTTTTGTGTCTGCTGCGGGTTTTTGTTGTGTTACCTCCCAACTTTGGGAACGGACCTGAGTCTGAAGACTGGGACATTTAAATTGTCCTTCTCAGGCCTTTAAAAAGGGCTGGTTTGAGAGGGGGCGTAGTGTTCTGGATGGCAGGTTAGCTTTGTGCTCTTCGGGAGAACAGAGGCTACAAGCTTTTTTCACCGCCGCCCCAAGTCTGGTGTGGCGGTGGGGAGATAGAGGAGGCTGCCTGTCTTGCTTTGCATCGTCTGTGATCTCCCACAGCTGCTCCCACTGTTGTGCAAAATGGGACACATTGAAATGAAACGCATTAGCTTAATTCTTTCTCAAGGCAGCCTGGGTGCATACTTGACCTGTCTTTCCAGAGACAAACGTTGTTATTCAAAATACTCTTCCTTCCAGACACATGGTTCTTACCTCCTAGCTCTGGGTTTTCTGTCTTTTCATCCTGTGGTGTTGTGTGTGTTTGTGTATGTGTGTACGTGTGTACTTGAAATGGAAGGGCCAGTGACACAGGAAAACCAGATAACAACGCAATTGAGTTCTGCTAGATTGGGATAGTGTGTTTTGCATGAGCTTTTAGTTACTCTTCTGATTAATAACACATGATCTGAATTAATCTTTAGAAAAATGTTGCATCATTACCATGGTGGATTTGTGTTACTATTAAGTTTAGCAGTCACAAATTTAGTATGTAGACATTTATGATTCTACATCACAAGCTCCTTGGGGCAGTGGTTGGTTGTTGTGGTTACTTCTGTTCTACTGTGTGTCACACACAATTACTGGATGTGGTACTTTTCTTAATTGTTTATAATACTCTGAGCCTCTCGAACAAAAAACAAGAACAAAAAATATCAGGCTGACCTTTTTTGAATAGAAACAAAGCTTTTGGGAAAGTCTCAGGTTGGGGTCCCTCTTGTTAGTGATACACTTGGACATTGATGTGGTGTTTACTGTAACTCTCCCTAGTCAGCTCCAGTTGCTCTTTGGAAACCTACAAGAGGAGTTAAAAGGAGTCCTCTTTATGGGCTGATAGAAGCCCAGAGTGAAGGTGATTTCTCTTAAGGTCAGTTTTTTTTTTCTTTTTTTTCCCCCCTGGATTTGTACACGTGATGCTCTCAAACTTTGCTTTTCTTCATGAATTGGTTAAGAAACCAACTCAAACCATTTAAATCTAGAGATCAAGCTAGAAGGACAAATTTTAGGTGGTAAGTTTTTAAGTATATATGTAGAGAAATTCTTTACCCAGGGGCAAAGGAAATCACGTTGGCATTATTGATGCTAGCTTTATTTTCATATATGATAAAGACCATGTATATGTTTTGGGAGGAAAACAAGATAGTAATACTGTACAGGAAAGTGTACGGGCACCTCATTGTAAGTATGGTTTACATCAATAATTAATAAGACATTTCAGGCATGGAAAATAATTCCATCCCCAAGCTCTAGAATATTTAAAGCATTGGGGAAGAGTAAAAATTAAAATGACAGAAGTCCATCTATTTCTGGAAAATCTCCAGACCAGACCTTCTCAATGACTGTCCAACTACCCCTTCATCAATCTAAATGAGTTAAATGGTATAAATCTAAAAAATTAATTGGTGTGAATGGAAAGAGTAAAAGATTGAAGAATTAAGATGAATGGAAGGGTAAACTTTAAAAGTAGTGATTTTTTTTAATAGGAAAATTTGTTTTTAAATAGATTTAAATTACTGAAGTTCTGCGATGAAAGACTAGGGCAAATTGGTTCCACATCTTAGCTTAATCTTCCTGAGAGCCTCCCTCTTCTTAAACTTGTCTTCAGTATTGTTAAAATAGTTATAAAACACATGTATGGAAAACACTATTGACTCCTTGTATACATTTAACTATTTGCGTCCTTGTACCTACCTTTCAAGCTGTAAGGTGATACGCCTTTGTGCACATGTGTGTGATGTTTTTGTTACACTGTTTGATGGAAGTATTTCATAAATTATAAATTCACTCATCTAGTTTTATTCCTTTAGGGTGTATACATGTCACATATTTTACAGGTAATATTGGCATGTACATATTTTTTGGGGGGGATCCTACACATTTATCATTATCCATGTGGCTCTTTGTGGTATTAAACATTGCCTAAACGTTGGGAATACACATACGTGTGCACATACGCCTGTGTCCTTTATTTTCAAAGATGATGCTCTGAAGTTTATTTTGGGGTGGCGTGAACCACAGATGGTCCGTGCCCAAGAATACCTCTTTCTACATTAGACCGTCCGTACCATTCACTAATTTTTGGCTTGAAATCATTATCTACAACTAAAATATTAAGTCCCTCAATGCCTTTGTCAAGGAGCTGTCCTAAGGATTCTTTCTTTGAATGTCAGAGGAAAGAATAATTTTAAACCCTCTATCTTAGCTGGTATATCTGTGATAACATATGCTGCCCTGCAATCAGATTCAGGACCTAGTAGAAAGTGATGGTTTAGGGCAGTATTATTGTATGTTTGGTACTGGGAACTGCTTTGGTGTGTGATTAATTTGAATCCATTCCTTTCCAGTTTTTCCCCGCCCCCTCCTTGCCCTGAGGTTGAATGTAGTTCTGCTTTAGGAAGAAGTGGAAACATTTTGAGTACCTACTCTGAGTACACCCTATGCTTATGTATTCATTTAATTCTCACATTCTAGGAAATAAAATTACCTAAGTTGCCTAAAGTCATGCAGTTATTGAATAATTGATGTAGGATATTTAACCCAGATTTGGATCTCTAAACCCAACCCCACCCCCCTGGCCCCTCACCCTATATTCTATTATACTTCTGGGGCCCTTGACCTAGGAAGGAAAAAAAAAATGCTAGCAGTAAAACCGTTTTAAAAAAAATCTCAATCTAATAAATGCCAGTTTCAAACTGTATAAAATTGGCAAAAATGTCTTAGAAGTGACTGCTGTGAGGTGCGCTTGATGTTTCACATTCAAGGTCAAACATTTTGGCATCTTCACGATGCTGTTTCATTTTTCAGGCATGGAGTTAAAGAGTGATTTGGTCCAAGTGTGCTCTTCAGTTTTTACTATCAAGGTAGGCTTGAACTACCTTTGTTGGGAATTTAGGATTTCCAAATCATAGGAAAGAAACAATGTGTCAGTGCAGTGCATATACCCCCAAATGTAATTGACTTTCCTTGTCCTTTCACAAGTTAAGTTTTAGCATTTATTTCCCTCTGCAAGGTGGTGTTCCCTTTTAACTACTTCCAAGGAGAACTCTTGCCATGAAGTCTGCTGAGCAGATGGATGGGTGAGAGTGTAGTTAGGTCATCCTCAGATGCTTGCTGATTTTTCTCACATCCTTTCTCCTGTTAGGGAAAGGAGGTAGAGAAGGGGAGGGGGGTGGAGTGTTGTAACTTTGAGCCATTACAATCTTACCCTAGGTACTAAACCTCTGAGCTGCTTTATTTCACCAAACTTGGGAATATATGATTATTGGGGTGCATTTCACCCCCCCATAATGCCGATGTATTTGGATATCTAGTATAGAAGTTGATTAAAGGCTGTTATCTAAATATAAGTGTTTGGCTACTGTGAGAGACTGGCAGAAACACAAATGGATGACCTTTGGGAAGAAAAGGTATGCATGCCCTTACATCCTTAGGTGATAAGAATTACTTTTGCTTGTGGCCTCTCACTTAGCAAATAGCATTGGCCTGGGAGGCAGGAGACCTAGTTTCTAAGAATCATACCTGCTGCACCAGGTTGAGCGAGTTAAACTCCTTCCTCTGGTCCTTGATTTTCTTCCTCTGTAAATTGGAATACAATTTGACACAACTGTTAAGATAGCAAAGGGATTTTTTTTTTTTAGATCCTAGCACTTGAAAATGTAAAACTTAACATACCATACTGTGATCC